TTTTATCTTGCTTTTGAATCACAAACATGTACAGATTATATAACAGAGAAATTTTGGCGGACACTTTCTGTGGGTGCTATACCAATTGTTAGCGGACCAAAACGAGAAAATTTTGCACGTATTGTTCCACCTCAATCGTTTATTCATGTTGATGATTATACATCAGATAAAGATTTAGCTGATGCATTGAATTTAATTGGTAAAAATCGAACGCTATATGGAAAATATCATGCATGGAGACAATATTATGATGTTTATTATGAAGCAAAAGATGTTGATCCATATAGATTTTGTGAATTATGTTATCGATTAAATACGAATAAACAACGTATTTGGTATGAAAATATTAATGAATGGTTTTTGGAGAAATGTTAAAAACCTCAATATAAGTTTTTTTTAATGTCAGATAGAAATTTCCGTTATGTATTAGCTTATTTTTTTTTAGTAATAAAAATTATTGTTAACATTTTGTGGTCAGCTATAAATAGCGCAATGATGAATGTATCATGGAAGATTGTCACAATGGAATCACAAGAGAACTGTTGTCTATTTTTAGATAGAATAAAAAATGCAAATATTTTATGACTCTTTTTTTATACAAATTAGACAATAAATCTTTTTATTTAGAATGTATAATAGAAGAAATATGAGATTTGATATTACTTGCAAATATACTCTTTAACGAGATGGTAATCGATAGTTGCTCATGTCATACTGACAAAAAAAAGACAATCTTCAACTGATTAGTTAATCTTTATTAGATAACATTATTACTTCTTATTGTTGAAGGAGATGACAAATCATTGAATTATAATCGATATATAATATTATTTATTTTTTGTTTTTTTTTTTGATGAAAAATACTATTTTGAATGTTATTCTTATACGCAAGGGGACGTCATAATTCATTATCGAAAAAGAAAAATAGATCTTCAAGTTTGCGTTTGTTGTTCCCATTGCTCATTAACATATACTATTCTCAGCAGACTACTTTGTTATCAAAATTTCTGCAGTTTCTTCACGATTTTAATTTAGTAGTATAATATTTTGTGGTTGTATTAATAATGCATTTATTCAACAAAAAACTCAATCAGAAAAATAATTATTTAGACGAAAGAAAATTGTTCGTATTTATTTCGATAAACAAAAGTATATTAAAGATATATGTTGAAATAATTCTTGTGAAGAATACGTTTAAAAGGTCTGCAATTTTGTATACAACCTAGTCTAATTGTGGTCTAAGTTCCAGATCGACATTCAAAAAGATGGTTTTTATGAAAGGTTCGAGTTCCATAAGGACAGTTTCTTGCTTACTCGATAACACGGGAATAAAGACATGAGCGGACGAATTGTTTTTAAGTTTTTCATATCTTATTGATGTCTACTTATCGTCAAACGGTGAAGGCTAAACGGCTTGAACATTTTGGGATGTGTCCTCGTTAGTTTCATCTTTTTAAGATTAGTCATCATAAAATAATTGAATTATAAGACTGGATGGATTGTAATATCAGTTTATTTCAAATCTTTTCCTATGCACTATACTAAAATGGATCTTTTTTTTTGTTTATTAGACAAAGAATAAAGTATTCATATCATGATTTTACTATTTCAATAAAGATTCTTAACGAAGTTGTTCGATCTTGATCATTAGTTACATTACTAAAGACTTAACAGTTAACATGAAATGCTCATACATATTTGAACTGATATGTTCATTGAACTTGGGAGCGTAGAAAAGAAAAACTAATTTCGAAAGGTTAACTCATAATTTCAAGTTCATATAACTATCTCAGCGTTTTCTGTTTTTGTACACTTCACTTTTCGACCTGATGATTTAAAATAATTTGGATTGAGATATTCACACTGATAAAAACTCGATAGACGGAAGAATATTTTTGTATAAATTATTGTATTATAAGCCATTGTTGTAAGTATTAATATTTTATGCATATTCTTATTGATAATAGTTGAAATATCGTATACTTTATTAGCAACTGCCAGTATATATATTCTACTAACATGAATCATTCGATCACATCCAACACAAACATCTTCGGCGTTTCCATTTTAATTCCGAATATATGCCAACCTTTTGTTTGTCTCTTACCGTGGTAAATGGTACAAAACCCTTAGATTTCGAAGACAAAAAATAAATCTGATCCTTTATTATGGGTATACATTTTCAACGTCCATCCAAACTGCTCTTGCAAAGACGACAACTGACAATCATCATTAAAAACAATGTGTTTCCTTTAAAGAATCCTTTTATTTTAAGATAAAACATAATAATTCTCAAAAGCTGAAATTATCGGGCCAGTCTAACGATAAACTTCTATTTCGAGTTGTTTGGGGCAGGTGCTCTTGCCACTTAAGCCCGACTGGATTATCGTCGAGGTTGACTAAAGTGAGTGTCTGTATGAAATAAAGAAGATGAATATGATCAAGATCAAGTAAGATCAGTTTTTCTCTCACTGTCTGATTTTGTAATGCTTCACCAAGATCCTTCGCACCTTGCTCTCCGATTTCATTATATGCGAGGTTGACAAAAGTGAGTGTCTGTATGAAATAAAGAAGATGAATATGATCAAGATCAAGTAAGATCAATTTTTCTCTCACTGTGTTCTTTTGCAATGCTTCCCCAAGATCCTTTGCACCTTGATCTCCTATTTGATTTTTCTCGAGGTTAATTGAAGTGAGTGTCTGTATAAAATAAGAAAGATGAATATGACTGAGATGAAGAGAGTTCAGTTTTTCTCTCACTGTCTGATTTTGTAATGCTTCACCAAGATCCTTTGCACCTTGATCTCCTATTTGATTGCTAGAAAGGTCGAGTTGTGTGAGTGTCTGTATGAAATAAGGAAGATGAATATGACTGAGATGAAGAGAGTTCAGTTTTTCTCTCACTGTATTATTTTGTAATGCTTCACCAAAATCCTTCGCACCTTGAGCTTCTATTTGATTGCTAGAGAGGTTGAGTGAAGTGAGTGTCTGTATGAAATAAGAAAGATGAATATGATTAAGATGAAGAGAGTTCAGTTTTTCTCTCACTGTGTTCTTTTGTAATGCTTCGCCAAGATCCTTTGCACCTTGAGCCTTTATTTGATTGCTAGAGAGGTTGAGTGAAGTGAGTGTCTGTATGAAATAAGAAAGATGAATACGATTGGGATGAAGTAAGATCAGTTTTTCTCTCACTGTCTGATTTTGTAATGCTTCACCAAGATCTTTTGCACCTTGATCTCCTATTTGATTGCTGGAAAGGTCGAGTTGTGTGAGTGTCTGTATGAAATAAGGAAGATGAATATGACTGAGATGAAGAGAGTTCAGTTTTTCTCTCACTGTATTATTTTGTAATGCTTCACCAAGATCCTTCGCACCTTGATCTCCGATTTGATTAGAACAGAGGTCGACTTTTGTAAGTGTCTGTATGAAATAAGAAAGATGAATATGACTGAGATGAAGAGAGTTCAGTTTTTCTCTCACAGTGTTCTTTTGTAATGCTTCACCAAGATCTTTTGCACCTTGATCTCCTATTTGATTGTTGGAAAGGTCGAGTTGTGTGAGCGTCTGTATGAAATAAGAAAGATGAATAAAATCGATATGAAGTGAGATCAGTTTTTCTCTCACAGTGTTCTTTTGTAATGCTTCATCAAGATACTGTATACCATGATCTCCTATTTTATTGTGGGAGAGGTTGATTGTGGTGAGTGTCTGTATGAAATAAGAAAAATGAATATGATCGAGATAAAAAGAAATTGTTATTTATCTGAAATCCGTCATTTAGTTACATTTTTTCTTGCTCTTCAAAGATTTAAAAGGATTGTTATTGTTCACACATTATAGATAAAATATCCGTACTCGGAATGACGAGAAACGAACCAGAGGATGTCATGAAAGGATCTTTTGGTTGAAGGATTTTTTCATAAGATAATCACTTCTCTCTTATATTATATAGTGCGTTTATCTACGTTCAAGCACTCGATGGATCAACATTTCTAAGATATTCACCATCCATAGAATTGATTGAGAAACAAAAGCAATCAATTTCTTTTCGACTATATATTTTCCCTTTCAATTTCTTCAAAGAAAAATAAAATAGTATTTAATTAGCATTTTATTTCATACAAAATCTTTCCCAAAAGTCTCTAATGAAGAAGAATAAACTTTTTAGTTGACGACCTAGTTTTACATACGATAATTCTACAAAATCCTCTGATTTTCGTGGATGTCTTACGAAAAAGACATTCTTTTAAGTATTGTAATAAAGAGTTACAATTATGATTAATCTCATTTAGAACAATATCTTTACGAACAAAATTTATCAAAGTTAAAGAAATCAAATACTTGTAAGTTTTACACCACGAATAATTAATTAATTAATCAATAAAAAGTTTCATTAAAGAAACTTTCATTGACTTTTCAATTTAATTAAAATATATTTTTATTAAACCTGAAGCTTTTTTGCTTTTGCTTTCCATGAAAAAAAGATATATTTCACTGAGTGATTAAAGAACACTTATTTTACTTAATTCATACCCATCCATAGACATTCAAAAATATACCATTTTTTCTTATTCTTTAAGTTTAATATTCTGCTAGAAATTTATTTAAAAGTCCCCTCTTTTTGTTTTTACTTTTCTTTAACTGTTTATTGATTAAAAATATTTTGTTTATTTTTTATAAAAAGTTTTTGTTTGATTTGTGTCATGAAACATATTTTTATTTTTCATTTCTAAAAAAGTAATGTCGCTAGAAGAAAAGAGCGACTGAGAAAAATTTTATGTTCATTTTCAATTTCCTGATTAAATTTTGTAAATTTGCATAATTTGAAAAAAATATTAACATAAATTGAAATATTTTACTTTTTATTTATATGAATTCACAAGATCAGCTGAAATCCTTTCATGTATTGAAAAGAAGAATTATTCAAAAATCGATAATTGAATAATTTTGTTTATCACGATCCTTATCTCCATTAGTAAATATGCACCTTTTATTTTAACAAAGTCAAATATGCCCTCATTTTCTCTTTTATAGAATCAAACAAATACATTAAGACTTTACCGTATTTTCTTTTAGTAAATAATAAGCCACTATTTCCATATCAGCATCAGTCAATTTCATACGATCAAATGATCGGAGTGATTGATCTTGGCACATCATAATCGTTCGTTCAAGTTCTCGATTTCTATATACAGGTGGTTTTGATAATAAACTTGTTACATTTGATTCTAAACAGATGCACATAAAAATCTTTGAACAAAAGAACATTGTTTTACTACAATATTCGAACTAGAATATTTTTTTACAATACTTCACGAAATCTATTGATCATTGTTTATAAGAGAATATCTTATTTTGAAATCTTAAATAGACACATCTGAATGAATTAAAACAAAATACTGTGGCTATAAATCTTCTTCAAAGGTTTCACTATTTTATCTTCTTTAATTCAATATCAACAGTATTAATTATTGAATATAGAAACTGAACATGAACATCTTTTTTCTATTATTTTAATTTGTGTTTTTGGTGACAAAAGAGAATCAAATGTTAAGATTTCGGTTGTTGAAAGTAAAAAGAAAAAGAAAGAATACCATTTAATTCCTACTGAATTTGTTAATATGGACAAAACAAATAAAGAATCTATTTTGAGAAGGATATCAAAGATTTTCTCTGGAGTAAACCATCTATAATTTTACAAAGTATCTCTGATCGTGTATTCAATATTTAAATATTTAAGAAAATTATAAAACTCCTCTCTAACTCTAACAGACTCTGCTCAAAAACAATTATTTCGAGAAAAAGAACTTCATTTTTAATTCTATCATTAGAAGTCTTAATCCTATTCCTATCTACATATTTCAACGGTAAAATAATAAATGAAATTTTAAAGAAAAATAATTTTACCTTGATTGTTATTTGTCACTAAATAAACTGTGTCTATAAGTGAACTTGTTCGATATGGCAATTGAAATCCCTCTGTTTGTCGATGAACATTACCGGCAACAATTTTCATTACTTCATCGATATCTTTATTAGGTGTTGCAATATGTTTTAATAAATTTTCAATAAAACATCCATTGTTATTATTTTTTGTTTCATCTAATAGTATTGTACCCGGAGCACAAGCAAATACAACTAAAGTTTGATCTGGAGCATTTATAGACGATAAACCTTGTTTGCTATTAGAACTTCCAGTTCCTATTTTCGATCTAAAGCAATCAAATAAATAAATTGTAGTTCGACATTCTTTTTCCTTTATTTTCTTCATTATATGTTGTACATTAATACCATTATTTACCATATAATCATGTTTACCTTCGCCATAATCATAAATATATGGTAATAAATAATTTTCATTATTATTTTGTTTACCATGACCAGCATAATAAAATAATACTAAATCATCAGGTTCAATTGTTTCGACAAATGTATTAATTTTACTTGAAAAAGCGTACAGGTCACAATCTAAACCCAATGAAATCTTGAAGCCAATATTTTTAAGAGTAATTGCTAAATCAGTAGCATCATTTATGCAATATTGTAATGAATCACGTGGATATCGATTAATACCAATAACTAAGGCTATTTTTCGTTTATAACCGACAGATGATGCCATCAAATCTAGAATATACTGACAAATATAGAAACCGAATAAAGATTATTTTTCTCAACATATTTATTAAAATTGTTATTTTATTATTATTATCATGATTGTATTTATTGATGAAATATTTGATTTCGTAAATCTCGAAATAGTTTTCTTTTTTTCAAAGAATGTAGATGTCAATACTGTTACACAAGTGTATATAGCAACATATGACATCGTGATAGTATATGTCTCATTACAAGTACTTTTAATGAGATTTATTCAATAATTCTATTAAAATAAACTCGTTAGATATTTTATAAAAAATTCAAATTGGAATTTATTTCTGCTATAATATACATATAAACACATAATCTAAATATCTCGATATTCATCTTTATAAAATATGTCGACAACATCCAATTTTTTTTGTTGCTGTTTGTGGCTAAATAAAATATTTTATGATATTATTTTATGACCCTATTACACTAAAGACGCTTGCAATCTACAATTTTTGACTGATGTAACGAATGATTGTCATACTAAGAGTACGGTACTAAATCTTCATATTCAAGTATTCAGTATTATAATAGTTCTCTTCAAAACTGTTCATTCGATTTTTCACGTTACTCGTCGATTTAATATCTCGTAAACACCAAAAAATGGATATTTCGGCACTAACTCTTATTATTTTACTGAGACATGTCAAACTTTTTGGTCCTGTCCTCGATATTATCGATTTAGACTGATTATTCAGAAAACTTTTAACGTTTTCGCTATATTTGACTGAAATCGATTACTAGTCTAGTTTCGAGCACATATAACTATCTTTTAGAAAATCATAGCATTAGTTATGGTAGATATGTTAACTTGAATAATTTTGAATTGATTCATAATCGAATACTAATACTAATTCTGTGATCAAAAATATTGGAAAAACGTGACGTCGATAGTGCTATTTTTTTTAAAATAATGCTTCTCGTTTTTGCTAATTTTCAACATACCTCTTTAAACAGAAGTTATGCAAGAGTTACCAAAAAATATTATTGTATGATGCTAGCGTTAGCAAGATTTACAAACGATAATCGTTATTATAAACTCATGAATTAATTTTCAAAGAAAAACGAATCATCAAAAATAAAATAAATGATATTTAGAATGCTCTATTTTATTACTAAAACCATTTAGATCAATAACTTACTAAAACCAAATTGTTGAAATAGAATCAATTGAGAAAATTGTAATAATCAGTTGTTGTGAACGTATCACAGTATGTATTTTTTATCGAATGATTTGTTACTTAGTTGTGTAAAAGTACACAACTCTACAGTTACATTTTTTCCTACCTTTCTCTTTTTTCTTCCAAGCAAGTGAAAAATCCGAGAAAGAGGAGCGAGACAAAAAACACTTATTGTGTGGGGAAAAGTTGCAATACTTCACAAAAAAAACAATGATGAAGCTGAAAAGAAAAACACATTCTACTGGGTAAAAGTTTATTACGAAATACAAACTCTTAAGGTATGCAGGTGAACAATAAAAATCATACTGATATCTACAACGTAAGAATTAATCATTGTCATTGATACCGAATGTTCTCCACCTGTGTAGAACATAGAGAGGATACTAACTCTCACTAAAGCCTTTAGAAATTCGAAAAATTCTTAGATAATATCGAAGATTATATAATTATTTTATTTCTGATATATCTACGGAATAAATAGAACAATATGTTTGAATATGAGTATAAGCTAAATGTGACACTTGTACACTTACTCATTTACACACAAAAGTACTCACAGAAATTATTCAAGGACTAATATATAGTACAGAGATTTCCGATGTATTTTTTTTCTTTAACAAACATAATTATTTATAGATATCGATTTTAGATTCATAATATCTTTTTCTATCAATAAACTTCATCATTTTCATCTAACAACATTGGTAAAACTTTGGAAAAGATTTGTTCTGTAGAACTATACATCTCACATCATAAAAAACAGACTTTTATATTCATTAGAGTATTCATCATTTATTCTCTAATCTTTTTACTTAAAATTAGAATTAAATATTTATTTGGTGAAAAAAAAAGATTGAGCAAAAAGTGAAAATAAATTTACATGCAACAGACTTATATAGTTATAGAATTAAACAAAAGAAAACATTATACGCATGGCAAGAAACATACTCAATCAGACAAGCTTGGAAAAAACAACGTTTTAATGCGTGAAAAAAGTATTTCTTTTTGAAGAAAAATCAAGCTTGTAAATATTTACGTTGTCAAATTCATTTTTTTCACAAGAGAATTTTTTTTAACGTGTAAAATTATGCACTTTTTACGCATAAAAACATCTTTTTTTTTAAACGCGTGTCTGACTGGGTAGCTGTAGAAAAAAACAAAAATCGTAAACTAGTAAATATACATCTGATAAAATATGTATTATTAATTCATATTAACAAATGATATTTATATCTGATATAAGCACAACATGATGAATAAATGAGAGATACTAATCGAATGCATGTATATTCTTATTTATTAGAGTTATAATTCAATTAAACCAGAATATTAAAAGTTATAATTAGTATCATTTATGATACAAAGAATGTCGGAAAATAAAATAAAAGTACGATTTGATCGATCATGGTATTTTCTTGGTACTTTTGTTTGTTATCAAGGATCAACAGGTTAATTTGGTTTAATTATATATTATTCTGTAAAAGTGGATAAAGAATTCGATAATTCAAACCATTGTAATGTATCATTATACTCCATAAAACAGAAGATTAATTTTTGAGAATTAGAATATATGCATTTCTCTTTACATATATCTTCAAAATATTAACTTTATCATATTCAAATAGTTTCTATTTTTATTACTATATGATCTCTTACTCAAAATCATGATATAAGCTACTAAAATCTTATTAATAAAAGGACCATAGAATCAATATTTTAATTCAACTTCTATCATATCATATCATAGAATGACGATATTCATAAGAAAATATTTTTTGAATTTCAATGTTAAATCAAGAAGAACAAGTTCCTGATGAAGGAGTATGAAAATACGAGTAGAAAAATGATCTAAAACTTATCAAATAAATAAATAAAGCCTTTTGAATTCTAGGTTGTGGGTGTGAGTTCACAGAAGACCAACTCTCACACCTTCAAGATACATGACTTAGGTACTATTTTAAACTTTACTTCTTCAGTTATTGATTTGATAAGTATTAAATTATCTTTCGTTCAATAAGTAGAACAATGTATATGTCTGTTACTTTTGAATTACATAATTTTATTGATATAAGAAGAATTATAACATAAAAAAAGATAGTGTAAAAAAACTTGTAAATATTGATCGTAAAAGGAAGAAGTAACTCGTATTATATTTTTTGTTCTTATAGACTTGATTCTATATAGAATCGAAGAATGACTAATATATTTCTTAAGAGATATTTTATGTTTTCATTTTAGAATTTCTAATGTGATTTCCGTGTTTCGAAGGAAACGGAAGTGAACCAAACTCACCGGTACTGCAGTGTTGAGGTGATCCGTGGCATAGGTCCAAGTGAACCCGGGTGATCCTGACCCATGCCCAAAAATCCGCTTGAAAGATCCTGACCTCAATGAGATCAGCACCGGCTTTCAAACCGATAAGAACAGATACTATACTTTTATCTTAGCCGAAAAGGCCGAGAAGCGATAACTCAATAAATAAATTTAAGTTCCTTATATTTACTGTGTTCATACGCATTGATGATCTTTCAAGTGTTATATCATCAATGATTTACAAAGATCTTTATCACTAAAGTTAAGCTTACATGAAGATTATGTAAAACATGAATGTCATCATTCATTTTTCAACGAAACAAAATAGAATCTAGTTTGTTATGACTTACGACATTATAGTATATGGTTTATTGATGATGACTATTGTACAAGAATAATGTAAGATTTTATATAAATCCTAGTTTACATTTATTGCAATAATTTTTTTAATTCTTTTTCGTTTTCATAGGAAAAAACTGTTGCTCTGGCAAGCTGATGTTACCATCTTTTTTTTCAAGAGTTTTTCAACTGAACAATAATATCCGATACATGCACACACAAGCACAAGGAGAAGAAGGAAATAAAGCATTCGGAACAGAAAAAACAGATCAATAATAGAAGATAAAGAGGTACACACAGGCACACACATATATATGATGAATATCAACTTAGAATAAGAACAACACAAAATGTTTTGTTGGATTTTTCATTTTGATATTTACTGCTGACGATTAGCATTTGTCGATGTTTGTTAACCGAAGCCATGGTAACCAGATTTTAATGAATTACCAAAAATCGATTGATTTGTTGATCCAATTGAAAATGCTGAATTTGTATTTGCTGTTGTTTGTCCACCGGAGCCAGAGCAACCAAATTTTACTAAACTACCAAAAACTAGTCCATTTATTGATCCTAATGAAAATGTTGAATTAGTATTTGCTGCAGATGTTTCAGTTGATCTAAAGGGTGGATGTAGATGCGGATGTGATTGTGGATCTTGTTCTTCATCAATACCCACACCCACCCTCAAGATGGTATATTTTTAGATTTCTCTTCATCTTATACTTCTTCATTCTCAACGTTTGAAAAATTTCCTCCCTGAATCTCCAGTTAACTAAATTCTTTAATGAGACATCAATATTCCTGTTCATAAACTGAATTTTTAATACAAAAAAAATTGTCAAAATATTTAGTTTAAACTTAGTTTTCTTAGAATGAAATAATGAAAGAAACATACCGAATGGTGATGAAATAACTGAAATTTTTTTAATAAATTCTTGTGAATCTTGTCGAATAGAAATATTTGATGGTTTATTCAATTCTTCTGTAATTTGTGTTAATTGTAATTGAAAATTATTTAAATCAAAATCATTAAATTCATTTTCCTCACGAATTCCTTTTAATTTCTGAGATAATTCAATAAACTTGTTTTCAATATCGTTGATCGACTTTTCTGTCAAAGTCATCAGTGTTTCTCGACATTCTTTTGCTGTTTGTTGAATTTGATCAATTGAATCTGTTTCCCATTGATTAATTTGTTGAATTAAAGAAGAATTTAATGGATTTTGTTTTTTTTGAATAATCGTTTGTTGAAATTGATCATGATCACTAACAATTTCTTCTAATTTGTTGCCAAGAATTTGTCGATGCTCTGTTAAATGTTGAAAACAAAAACCTTTTGAACATCCTGAACAAACATACGTTGTATTCGCTTTGTTACAAATAGAACATTTTGCTCTGTTGTTTGCCGTTGCCATTTGTTGATGAATTTCGAAAAGAAATAAATGTTTGTTATATTTTCTTATTTACCTAGACTTCGATAAGATAAAATGAGTCAAAGTCGATAACAATATGTGGAGAAAAAAGAATGAAGTAAACCTTTTTTTGGTAGTTACAGAATTTTTATGATAAAAACAATTTGATATTCATTAGAATTGAATTAAAAATAAATCATAAGAATTTCATTAAATTTTCTTCTTTGAGATTAGAAAAGATACAAATAATCTTTTTGTTTTCATTTAATTAAATAAAAGATTTTTCCGTATGAAATCCAATGGATGTCATTTATTTATTCAATTCTTTTTACTTTATTTTATAATTTAATATTGTTGAAAATGATCATTAAAGTTTTTCTTGAATTTGTCTAAAAGACATGTTCTTAAGTGTGTTTAAGTAAATAATTAATCTAAAACCAATTTGAAATCGTTTGAAAATCTTCATTCGATTTAATTAATTGTTTTTCTCTTTTACAATTAAATATACATATTAATGTTGTTATAAATATTTCAAAATCTTGAGGGTGTGGGCGAATCTGAATATAGATGTAGAACAGAAATTTACATCCTAAGAATTAACAAAACATAAGACATAAATAGTTTCTAACAATGAAAAAGTAAAATTCTAATGAACCAGATGATAAACCAAGATCTTTATTAGATTCGTGAAAACGTTTGGAGAAATTTTCAATTAAAATTGATAATTGTTCATTACAATCTTCTGGTGCATCAAGTTTAGCAAAAAATTGATTTTCATATGATTAAAGTTCAATAAGACGCTCTAATATATCACGACTAGAAATACAATATGTTCACTTTCGATATAGAATTTTCAATTAACAAATATTTCGAAAAATTAGATGAGACTAAAACAATAGACATCATGATCTCACGGTGGAGATCAATGCTCTTTTCTTTTGAGTACTGTAATTATAGAAGAACTTGCAGGACAATTAAAACTTTTATAAAAAATATATGACAATGGAAAGAATATGATCAAATTCTCATACTTATATTATTTTATGATATCTCAATAAAAAAGAGAACGATAAATGTCATTGTATTTTTAACAAAATATTGAAGACTCCTATATACAAAACGTTTTTATTATAAAAAAGAATCTCTTAGTACTTGTCCAGCATTGAGTCGTAATGTTTCTTCATCAAGTTATAAATAGATTCTACGAAATGAAATACTTTCACTGTGAGCTCGATTAGATTTGCATAATCTTAAAGGATATAAAACGAAAAAAAATGAATCATTCTTAAATCTATTTTATTACCACGACCAAAGTATTTCATCATTAGCCAATTTTTGACAAACACATGCGGCAAGACATCGATCAGTAGCATTTATATTTTTGTAATTAAAAATATAAAAATATATGAAGAATTATTTCTAGAATAAAATATATACTTTGATTTTTAGTATGAAATGCCGACTTAGCAACTTGTCGATCAAAGATTTAACCCATTGCTAATGATTAAAATCATATTGAAGAAAAAATCTCAAATGAAATGAAATAATTATTTTACAATCTTCAATATATCAAATAATTTATATAAAAATTAACATGAAATGAAAAAATAAATCAATGTTTTTTTAACATTTATTCTAAAATAATAATTATATTTCGTCAATTGCTTTACTTATGTTTTTTCATATAAAAATATTGAGATCACAGTGCAAAAAAAAGAATGAATTCTTTATTTTTCGAAAGTATAAACTCAGATTATTCTAATTCATATTTCATAAGAATGATAAAAATTATAAAAGATGTCATTGTGACAGTTTTTCTAGTAATTAAACTCTTTGCTATGTATTTAATTAATTTTATTCTAATTTAGATTTTATGATGTTTGTAATTAATCAAAATAAATATATAGATCCAAACAACCATATAACCATATTACAATTTTCGTCTTTGTTTTGAAAAAAATGTTGCTCTGGTAGATCAATATGTTATCATTAATTCACATACGTTTGTCATTGGAACATATATCTTAATAATCGGTGATGCACGATATCTATTTTGTCTTTCGAAATATTTTATTAACAAAACATAAAAGAAAGTAGAATGTGTAAAGACATAGTAGATGTCGTGCACCACAAACTATCGAAATAAATTGCTTATTACAAACTTACCAAGAGGTAAAAAATCTTAATCTGATTAAATACATGTTGCAATGACGAAAAATGTGCGGATTAGTGGTAACATTGATCTGCCAGAGCAACATTTTCTTATAAAAATAGTAAAAGAAATCCATATATAACTTTCATCTGTATTATGCATAGTACAGATGTTCATCACTCTTAATTTATTAAAACTAATATACAACATACCTTGTTTTCCTTTTGATCATTGAGCTGATGTCTAACAACAGAAAACTATGACTACAACAATTAGTCTTTCGAAAATATTTCTCTTAGATTTTGTTTTGACTGATAGGTTTATTAATTAAATAACATTTACGATAGTATGAATTGATATGACTATGAGTGAATATGAACTTAGGTAATTATTTCACTCTGCTAGAGAGTTACTTTTTATTGATTTTATCATTGATGCATTGGAATAAATTTAACATAGAATTCTCTTAAATACAATATATTTAAGATGATTTTCTTCTGGTTTTTTTAACAAGAGAAACATTAGAATTAGACAATGAAAAATAATCATTGAATAGAACGGTATAGAACACGTTCCAAAAAAAATTAACTTTGTTTGAGAAAAAAAGCGTTCCACAAAATTTGGAACGTGTTCCAAAATGGAACGGTATAGACCACATTCCGATGTTTCGGGAACGTTTTTTTTAAAGAAAAAACGACTGTTCATTATTCTGAGACGCGTTCCCGATGATTATCATCCACGTCTACATTCCCTACAATAATCCTGAAAAAGAAGTAAGCACAATATTCATCGAGAGACCTCTTCCAATGCAACTTTACGAGCTCTATTCAATGGAATGCTCTGATTTTTCGTAGCTTAAACTATAGAAATTATAACGTGAAATATTTTTTTTGAAACTCAGGTTTGTCAGCTGGGAAGTACAACTGATCCAATGTTCCACCATTTTTGGTGTTAATTTTGATCTATCGTATTTCAGCACAGGCAGTTTTGAACCAAAACTGACGTTAAATTTAGATGAAAGTATTCCTCAACTAAGAAAACGGCGTCGGATCCATTCTGCTCTTGCTAGGAATGATATCAGATTGTCGGGAATGTATTCATCGGTTTAGAGAATTCATTCTTTAAATGCTCCTGTCTATAACGTCAAAGAATGCGATCTTATTTCGAGACAATGCTATCTGACCGTTCCAAAACAGAACGGTCGACGATGATTTTACTAGTTTAAAGAACAAATCATAACGCTTTCTATTCAGATGTAGGACATGTTTTGAATCAGGAAGAAGCGTTTCGTAATAATATAGAACGGCAAAGTATAGACTTTTCTGAAGTCAGAAAGATTCTTTTCGTTGACGAATGTATTCATTAAACTGTAGAACGCCTTCTACTAATAAGAGAAAAGTTTCCATATTTTCGGTGATGCGCTTACTATCGTTATTTGTCATGAATAATTTTCACTGGATAGTTATGATGTTATGAGCACTATAGCGTTTGGTATAAGTCTATTAAAAGTTTATTACCGAAGAAAAAAATCCTATATACTGGGGACAGATCGCTACGAAGTCTGTTAAGAAACAATTTATTGTGCTGGAATTTATATCTATGTAATACTTTCTTAAAAATGATAATATATACGATTGAGTTTAAAATATTTTCTATACATCGATATAGAATGTGAATAATATTAGTCAATGATGATAAAAGTAAAATGCTATCTACAAAAAATGATTATAATACAACAACAATAAATGAAAAAATTACCACAAAAACTTGAAGTCTATAAAAGAAAGACTAATCATACATTATTCCATGAGATATTTTTGAACTCTAAAATCATATTCAAATTCTCATCAATATATATATGAATTCTTACTGTCTGTTGTAATATAGATCTGATATAATACCTATTTAAAATATATTTATACTCAAATAAAGTTTATTTAAAAAAAATTAAGAAAATTATTCTAAGGAATTAGATAATCGTGAAAATGTTTTATTTCGAATTGCATTTGTTTGTATTTTACATTCATGCATTTTCATTTTTAATTGTCGACTTGTCTTGATACTATCAAGCTGTTTTTGAATTGTTGGTATGGCTATAAAATCATTAATTATTTGATAAATTTGATTAAGCGAAAGTTTTTCATTTGTATCAGATAATTGTTGACTATTTAACTGACGCTTTTGTTTTATTGATTGTAATACTTCACGAACTTTTCTATTCATATTCGAATTAATATTTCGAATTTGAGAAATCTGTAGTTCTTCTTCAAGAAATCGTTCAATTATACATTGAAATGGATCATCATCATGAGTTAGTAGTTCTTGTTGTCGTAAGTAATGAATTAATCTATCACATTGCAATAGAAAATTATCAAAAGAACTTTGCCATCGTTCATTTCTAAGACCTGCAGGTTCATCAATAAATTCATGTTGTACTATAGCTTCAACTAAAAAATGTTTACCATTTGAAGAACAAACATGATGTTGATTGACATAATTTTTCAAAACAACACGTTGATATTTAGTTATCCAAAATGGACCTATTTCTACCGTATTAGTTTGTGCACAACAGGTACACATTTCAAAATGGATTGGATTCGAATTTAATATAATGTGATTAAAAATCAATTTTGCTTCATTTAATTTCCAATTATAAATTATTAAACGTAATGTTTCCATGATAGGTCGAGCAAGCACTGATATATCAAGCATAGCTTTCTTTGGTGATAACCATGTATTATGATAATATGGTTGACATGCTTGTATATAATCAAGTAAACGAATTGATTCAGTAGCTGATGTATTCCAACTATCAGTATATTCTTTTTCTTGATAATGATCAAAATTAATATGACGTTTTCTTGCAGCTAAATATCGAAATGATTCACTATCGAAACAAAATGTATTTGTTTTTTGAAATGGAATATTCAAATTTCCATCAATAAGCATCTTTTGAAGTAACGGACCTGTATCACCAGGTGCATAAAATGTTGCACGAGAATTTGTAAAACAAAAAATAATATTTTTATAACCAATTGGTGATATATATGTTATTAGTTGATTAATACATGAACGAAAGAAAATATTTAATTCAGAAGTATTGGGTTTAAGTAATAAACATATAGCATTTATATGAGATAAATTAGTAATATATGTTAATATATGATCAATACTTTTTATATCTTGATCTATTCCTCGTATATCACCGATACCCGGTGTATCGATTAAACGTATAGAATATTTATCGTTTAAATCAAATAGATAGGATTTACATTGTTGAGTAACCGATTGACCGTGACATTTATAGCTTTCATTAGGATCTATATCACCAAAGTCAACAAAAGCTTCATCAAATTGTTCACCAACAGTAAGTAGAAATGAAACTGGTATTAATACAATTGGTTGACCTCGTTCAGCTTGATGTAGAGTATCAAATTTTAAATAATTAATAAATACATTGATAAATGTTGATTTGCCAACACCTGTTTCTCCTAAGAGTAATACATTGAGTTCAGTCTTTGGTGATGTTGGATAAGAAATACTAGGTAATGTTAGTGGAGTTACAGATCTACGTTCTTGCTCTTGCGAGGATAATGACTGTTTTGAAGTTGATGAAACTGACGTTGTACGTGATCGTTGAGAGCTTGTGTCTAAATGGAGTTGTTTAGTTAATTTTAGGCTCAAGAAATCTCAACGTTTTATAAAATTCTTGTCTTACTAAGTTAAAATAACTCAATAGAATTTTAAGAACCTATGATCTTGTATATAGATGATGGAATTCATGCACATATGTCTTATATTTGTACTATAAGATGGTTGTGCAGAGTCGTTCAGAAGTACAATAAGAATAAATCAAGAAATGATATTGAAAAATCTATTAAACTAACTGGGTTTGTTTATTCGATAAAGAAATTAGCGAAATCTTTCATGTTTGCAATTAGAAAAGGAAAATATTCTTCTCCTATCTCGCAAAATCTAATATCTTACCTATAATAGAATCAAGTTCCACTTCTGATCTTCCTTTTGGTGGTAACTGTACAACAGTAAAACTTTCTAATTGTTGCTGACAATTCGTAAAATCAACATAGATTAATTTAATTGCTTGCGTTGTTTGATGTCGTAGCGAAATTATTTGTTGATATTTTTGTTCCCATCTATCGGATTGCTTACGTTTTAGTCGATCACTAGAGTACCAAAGAATGACACGGTGTTTGTCATTAGAACACGAACGTTTAATTATAATATCAATATCTTCATTTTTGAATGATGTGATTTCATTAGGACGAAGATCAAATGCATTCATATATTCAATATGATTTTTCGTTAATTTTTCGATTAATGTTGCTTTTGCCAATAATCGTTCAATAGTGATTCGAAATACATCAATTTCATTCTTATGTAAACATGTATAGCATTTATCTGAAATAATATGATCTAACTCTTGCGGATTTCTACGATTACGACGAATATCTGGAATGGCTTTTCGTAGACGTTCATTGAAATTTTCTTGAGCATCAAGTAATATACTATATTTTTGTCGAACTTCTTTTAATTGTTCATTAAGTACTGGACTTGAATAATTTGTTGGAAGATCTATGAACAATTGATGTAACTGTTTTAATTGATTTTCTATACGTTTACTCATTGGTTCAATTCGATCAAGATGGACATTGACACGATCTGGTTTAAAACATGGTTCTTGACATTGTATATTATTATAAAGCCATCTTAATGGTTGCATTGTATACAAAATTGGTTGATGAAAATTTACATTTCTTTGCCAATCTCGTATTCGATTAAGGATAGTTAATAATGATGTATTTGGATCATCAACACATAATTCAGATCCGTATATAGCCATATTATTTAATTGATTTATTAAACGTCGATCATCATTTGTAAGTTGAACTGGAACTTCGTTCCGTTGAAGTTGATGAGAGATACGAGAAAGTAATTGATCAATTGCTTCTATAGATTGATTTCTTGATATTTGTATAACACATAAAATCTCAATACCCCATTTAATTTTAGTAATCATATGAGTTGCCTCCGTTGAACCTTGTGGTGGTGCAACAATTCGATCTGCCTTTCGAGCTTTGATATGTAATGTTTCTTTTCTGGTTTTGTAACAGTAATATAAAAATCGCGTATTTGCATTAATAGGTTGTTTATATTCAATAAAACGACCAATGCCTGATGGTATAACCATCTCAAGACGAATACTTCGTTGAACTTCATCATCAAAACCGATATTACTTAGAAAACTGGTAGGTTCTCTGGATTGATCACCTGAAAATACTCGGCATATCGAACGTTTATTTGGTACTTTTGTCTCTGATGGTTGAACAGAATGTCGATCAATTAAACTATCAGTTGAAGTATCATATAGGGAACCTAGTCGACCGGACGTATCAATCACTTTTCGTTCAGTTAGACATTCATCACTAAATTTAAAAGGACCTATATATGATTTAGACCAGAAGTGAGCACAGGACCGGATATGCCGCACGTCCTACTCTCCTGTCCTGTTCTGCAGGTGAGGGTTTTAATTTCTGTCCTCTGCTGTCCGCACTGCAGGACGGATGGGTCGGAGCGGTAGAAAAAACAGGATGAAAAAATTCGTTCTGTGCTCACCTCCAATTGCTAGTGGGGTTGAGTATAGTGCGGTTCTGTATAAAAGAAGAAAGATAAATATGATCGAGATGAAGTAAAATCAGTTTTTCTCTCACTCTGTTCTTTTGTAACCCTTCACCAAGATACTTTGCACCTTTGTTTCCTATTTCATTTTCAGAGAGGTGGAGTTGTGTGAGTGTCTGTATGAAATAAGAAAGATAAATATGATCGTGATGAAGAGAGATCAGTTTTTCTCCCACTCTGTTCTTTTGTAATGCTTCGCCAAGATACTGTGCACCTTCATCTCCTATTTCACTGAGAGAGAGATCGAGCGTAGTGAGTGTCTGTATGAAATAAGAAAGATAAATGTGATCGAGATGAAGTGAGATCAGTTTTTCTCTCACTCTGTTCTTTTTTAATGCTTCACCAAGATACTGTGCACCTTGAGCTCCTGTTCCATTCCGAGAGAGGTCAAGGGTAGTGAGTGTCTGTATGAAATAAGAAAGATGAATATGATCGTGATGAAGAGAGATTGTTTTTTCTCTGACTGTGTTCTTTTGTAATGCTTCACCAAGATACTGTGCACCTTTGTCTCCTATTTGATTCGAGGACAAGTTGAGTGTAGTGAGTGTCTGTATGAAATAAGAAAGATGAATATAATCGAAATGAAATGAGATCAGTTTTTCTCCCACTTTGTTCTTTTGTAATAATTCACTAAGATACTGTGCACCTTGAGCTCCGATTAGATTGCTGCGGAGGTTGAGTGTAGTGAGTGTCTGTATGCAATAAGGAAGACGAATATGATTAAGATGAAGAGAGATCAGCTTTTTTTCACTGTGTTCTTTTGTAATGCTTCACCAAGATACTGTGCACCTTGAGCTCCTATTTCATTCAAGAAGAGGTCGAGTTGTGTGAGTATCTGTATGGAATAAGAAAAATGATTATGATCGAAATAAAGAGAAATTGTAATTCATCTGAACTCTATTATGTAGTTAGAATTTTTCTTCTTTAAAGATTCGAAAAGGATTGGTATTTTTCACTCATTATAAACAAAACTTGCATCCTTCGGATGAAGACAGCGAAGCAAATCGAATTATTGAATCAGGGTGTGGGTGTGTGTTATAATCTTTTCTCCAACTTTATCATCGTCAACGCTCACACCCACCTTCTATTAATAATGATCATCTTATCGATCGACAGTTGATATTGGGCCGCAAGTCTCGTTGGAGAGCAAATGTCGTTGGAGAGCAAACGTCCGTGGGGAGCAAATGTCGCAAGAGCAAATGTCTCGGGAGCACCTTTCATGGATTCATTAAGAAGATGAACCAGTCAAAAAATCGATAATTGAACAATCATGTTTATCCATTGCCTTTATGTTAATTGATACTTATAGACCATTCATTTTTACAAAATGGGCTATGCCTTCATTCTCTGCTTTCTCCTTGAAAGAAGCGAACAAATACAATAAAAGTTTACCTTATTATCTCTTAGTAAATAATAAGCCACGAGTTCGATATCAGCATCGGTCAAGTACATATCGTCGAACGATACGGATGATGTATTCTGATTCTCACTGATCATTTGTTCAAGTGTTGGATTTTTATATGTAGGTGGTTTTGATAATAAACTTGTTTTCTTTGTTCCTAAACAGATTCACATAAAAGTCTAATTTATGCATGAAAATATATGAATAGAGGGACGTTGTTTTACTGCAATATTCCAACTTGATTATTTTTCACTATCTTTTACAAAATCTATTGATTATCGTTTATAAAAAAAAGTATCTCATTTTTCAAATCTTAAATCAGCACATCTGAATGAATCAGAATGAAGTACTGTGGCTATTAATCTTCTTCAAAAGTTTTACTATTTTTTCCTCTTTAATTCAATATTAACAGTAATAATTATTGAATATTTTTCATCCAGTCGAACATATAAACAAATTTCTCTGATAGGAGAATAAAATATTTACTATATTTTCATGCGTATTATCAAAAAATCATATCTATCAAATATTGATTGATTTATGAAATAAAATAAATATTCACAAAACTATTTTCTCTTTTCTCCTCTGCATATTAATTTCATATTTCATATTAGTTATTTTTAGTATTACATCTGTATGAAATTTCTCTGTCTTATTCTCTTCTGATTTTGTTGAATTCAATCTATTTGAGAAAGGTCTATTCTTGATAATGAAGGGACTTTCATGGTTCTATATAATCACGAATCAATTTTGATCACTTATTTATTATACTGAGGTTTATTACAAATCGTCTGTTTATATATTTTACTTGAAATAATTTTTTTATTTCTCAAGTTCAAAGTGTTATGAAGGAGTATTTTACATATGTCTAGTCGCTGAGAAGATCTTTTTCTTATATAATATTTGATTAACATAATGTACAAAAATTTTTTAAACTATTCATGATTTCAGATTGAATCTATGATACATATTGATGAATATTCTATATTTACGGCTAATCATAGTTGTATTTGTCTTAAAACAATACATTTATTATCAAAGACTAAATTATGAATCTTTGGAGGTAAGCAATGTGTAAACACACTCAAATTCGAATTCACTCGTACTTCATTTGAGCATAGCTCTTATAGTGATGTTGTGATCTGCACTATTACATAGATCATCAACCTGGTCAACTATTGCTCGGATATGAACGACTGCACGTATGGGTGTTCAGTCGATTCATAATTACATTTATATGCATGTACATTAGAAAGAATGCTTTTCAACTCATTGAACATCATTTTTTACCACTTATATCATTAACATTGATAAAATAAAGTCTCCAAAAAGAAATGCGTGGTGTGCGCAAATACAATAAAAAGAGTAAGAAAAAAGAAACTGATACAAGACATGATTGCATGGATTGTGATGTTGGACTTTGTACTTCTTATTAATTTCAAGCTTGTCTATGCTCAAAAACACTTTTAGATATATTTTTATACCGATATGAAGAAGTCTTTGAGGATGTGAGTGTAACAGAAGTAGAGACTCACCCACCCTCAAGATGTTCCTTTTTTGCTGTCGTTACTTTTTTGTCGATATCACTGAAGTCCTGCTGTTGTTAATTATAGAATAGATAAGCAAAATGTGATTGATCTTGTCATATATATTGAGATATTTTTAGAATTTTTAAAAGATAATAATCTTAGATCTTTATACATTGTCAAGTTCTTGTTTTCAACCTCGTTTTCGTTCTTATGTAGTGTGTCAGATTATTTGTATAAAATAAAATAAAATGATTTATTTTTCCTATTTAGTAATACAAATAAATTATCAATAGTTTATTTTTTTCTTAATTTTTAATGAATACATTTATTACTAAAAACCAAAGACGAGTCAAAACAACGCACTTATCGACTGACTTGACGAAATATTATTCTTAAAATGCTATTCAGACAGACATGTGAGTGTGTCGGTTCCTTTAAAAATAGTCCATACAAAGATGGAATAAGCCTTTTGATGTTTGATCTATATAAATTTCAACTAATATTCGAACATAAGTGAAAGATTCTCAGAATTTTTATCATAGACAACGAAACAAACTGATTCTAGGGTAGACTTAAAACAAATTTACATAGTATAGATAACACAAGACAGAAGAAATAGTTTTCTATTCTTTTATACCAAAAAAGCACTAGGCAGAATGAGAAATAATAATCATAGGAAGTCCTTAGTACTTTTGTGATTAGGATAAATTTCGATTTGTGCATATACTATCAAATCTTTTTCAAAAAGATTCATGTTGATAGTTTGTAAACATGACATTAGAGGCTATTGTTATTGAAAAGAAACGATCGAATTTCAGTCTATCAAAGCCTCTGTATATTCTGACTCGAGTCTATATAAACTTACAATCAAAATTTAGGGTAGGCTGCACCTTTTTACCACAATTTAAAGTAGGCTGAAGATTTTGCAATCTCCAAACTCTATCGCCTATGTTGTTAACATAATAGAGAAGCTAAAACTCATTAGTTAACTGTTTCTCAAACCAAGACACATATTTTTGATATTCTGTGCCTAGCAACTAGAATCACTGGCAAATGCCATTGCAGGGTGTTAGCATGGGTGATGGTGAAGGTGGGTGTGGCTGCTAGATGAATACAGTATCCATACCCACACCCACGTCGATACCAACCGACGTCCACACTCACACACTCACCCTCAAATTGAATCGTTCGTTAGAAATTATCTACCTCTATTGTTAGTATGAGTTCTTCAATCTAAACTATTGTTATATACAGTATGTCCTAATTTACTGTATGTGTCACTTTCAAATCTTTGTCTTGGATTGGTCCTACCTGACGGATAATTGATATTTATAGATGCTCGGGTTTGAGTTTGATTTATAGTATATGAATGATCGTGAATGTCGTTAACATATGGAATTCTTTTGGTTGTATATGGTGTTGATGAATGAGTAAATTGTTGATTCGATGTCAATTGTTTGCTAGTTGTTTGATCTCTCATTGATTGGCTACTGCCTGATATGTATGATGATGAATGAGTAAATTGTTGATTCGATGTCGATTGTTTGCTAGTTGTTTGATCTCTCATTGATTGGCTACTGCCTGATATGTATGATGATGAATGAGTAAATTGTTGATTCGATGTCGATTGTTTGCTAGTTGTTTGATCTCTCATTGATTGGCTACTGCCTGATGTGTATGATGATGGAATGTATTTAGTGCTTCCATATCTTACTATATCATTGTCTGAGTATACAGCTGCTTGTTTAGTATACAATTGATTGCTAGGATACTTTTGCTCTGGCGGTCGATGACTCGGTTGTCGATCAGATCGCATTTGTGTGCTGTTCGGATGATTTTTATCGTTATAATTATTATCAAGATTATTTGTCGATAATCGGGCTGCGTCTAATTGCTTATGCTGATGTGACGAATTCTCCATCAGCGAGGCCGTTTTTTGTTCTCCTCCAGCACTGTTATATTGACTTCCTACAAAATAAAGTCATTGACCGATACAAACGAGTAGTTTATGAGCATAAATTTTATTTAGCCACTCATGGGAAACGTTTTGATAGCCGGGATGTGGTTCCTAGGTGAATTCAGTATTCATACCCACACTCATACCTTTCTTACGCACAGAATAGAAAACTAAAAAATGTAAAGCTTGTCCGATTATTTTTCTGTGTTTTTGTTGGCAAAAGAAATTAAAATGTTAAGATTTTAGCTGTCAAAAGTTAAAAGAAAGAGAAAGAATAATGTTTAATACCTACTGAATTTTTTGATATTGACAAAAGAAATAAAGAAATAAAGAATCAATTTTCTGAACTGTATCAAACATTTTCGCTGGAACAAACTATTTATAATTCTACAGCGTCTTCGGTCGTATATTCATCATTTAAATGTTCGACAAAAAACTTTTTTCCAATATAAGTACTATAACAACTAAGGAAATTATGAAACCCCTTTCTAACTTTGATAGACTCAGTTCAGAAACAACTATGTAGCGGAAGAGAACTTCATTTTTTATTCTATCATTAGAAGTTTTTTTCATATTTTTATTTACATATTTCAACAGTGAATAATAAATGAAATTTTAGTAGAGAATAAATTTACCTTGCTTGTTATCTGTCACCAAATAAACTTTGTCTATAAGTGAACTTGTTCGAAATGGCAATTGAAACCCTCTTGTTTGTCGATAAACATCGCCGGCAACGTTTCTCATTACTTCTTCAATATCTTTATCAGATGTTGAAATATGTTTCAATAAATTTTCAATAAAACATCCATTCTTATTATTTTTTGTTTCATCTAATACTGCTTTACCAGGAGCACAAGCAAAAACAATTAAAGTTTGGTCTGGAGTGTTCATTGATAATAAACCTTGTTTGCTATTAGGATCTCGAGTTCTTATTTTTGATCTACAGCAATCAAATAAATAAATTGTAATTCGACATTTTTTATCCTCTATTTCGCCCATTATGTATTTTACATTAATAGCGTTATTCCTAATATAGTCGCGTTCATGTCCACGATTATTATACTTATAGTCAGATGGTAATAAATAATTTTCATCATCATTTTGTTTACCATGACCAGCAAAATAAAATAATACTAAATCATCAGGTTGAATTGTTTTGATAAATGTATCAATTTTATTTAGAAATTCGTTGAGATTACAATCTAAACCCAATGAAATCTGAAAGCCAACACTTTGAAGAGTATTTGATAAATCAGTAGCATCATTTATACAGTATTGTAATGAATCACGTGGATATTGATTAATACCAATAACTAATCCTATTTTTCGTTTATAACCGATAGGTAATGCCATTAAATCTAAAACACATTGACCAATATAGAAACAAAGTAAAGTTTATTTTTTCTCAACGTATTTATTTAAGTTTCTATTTTATTAGTCTTATCATGATTGTATTTATTGATGAAATATTTGATTTGTTAAATCTTTAGAAATAATTTTTTTCTTTCTGAGAATGTATATGTCAATGCTGTTACAAATTCTAAATAGCAATACATGACATCTTGACTGTATGCCACATTATAAATACTTCTGATGAGATTTATTCATAACTATATTAAAAACCAACTCGTTAGATCTTCTACAAAAACTTTAAATTGATCTTTATTTGTGCTATAATATTCATATAAACATATAATCTAAATATTTGTAGACTCATCTTTGCAAAATAATTTTCAAAGAAAAATCAATTATCAAAAATAAAATAAAATCTATAATAACAATTTGTTATATTTTCATAAACTAAATGATGTTTAGAATACTCTATTTTATTACTAAAATCGTTTAAATTAATAACTTACCAAAGTCTAATTGCTAAAATAGAACCAATTAAGAAAACTGCAATAATCAGTTTTTATATATGTGTCACAATGTGTATTGTTTTATCAAATGATTCGTGAGTTGGTTATGCAAAAACACACGACTCTTTAGTTATTATATCTTCTCCTACCGTTTTCTTTTTGTTTTTTCTTCCAACTAAGCAAAAAGTTAAAAGTAAAAAGTTCGAGAAAAAGAAACGTGACAAAAAAACAATTTATTGTAATGGAAGAAACTTGAATACTTCGTAATAAAACAGTGACGAGATGAGAAAGAAAAACATATTTTACTTTGTAAAAGTGTTTTGTGAAATGCAACCAATTCCATACAGTCACGAATCTTCGAGAATGAAGGTGAACGATGAAAATAATATCCACATTCACAATATACAAATTAACCATTACCATCAGCACAGAATGTTCTCGAGCTGTATATAATATGGAGAGGATACTAATTTTCACTAAAGTCTCTAGAAATTCGAAAAATTCTTCAATAACATCGAAGATTATAGATTATTTTATTTCTCGTGTAACTAAGGAATAAATAGAACTATAGATTTCAATATGAGTATAAGTTAAATAGCCGCCATGGTTAAGTGGTTACGTTGTTCGACACGTATCCACACGGTACTGTGTTCAAACCTCAGTAACATTATCCATGGAATGACCCTGGACAAGTCACTAACGGCTAAGTTGTCCCAAATGACTCATTCCACATGAGTCATTCATACTGGTTATCTTTAGTCAGTATGTTGGACGGAAGAGAGTGCAGATACCGCCGTCTGTAAAAAGAGAAAGACGACAGAACCCGGCTGCATGTGGAAAACTCTAGTAATAACCGCGGCCGGCCCCTAAGGCCGATAAGCCTATGTGACGTTATTATTATTATTATTATAAGTTAAATATGACAATTCGTATACTTACTCATAAATAAAAGTGCTCACAGAAATTATTCAAAAACCAATATATAGTACAGAGATTTCCGATGTATTTTTTTCTATAACAAACATAATTATTTATAGATATCAACTTTGCATTTATAATATCTTTCTTATCAAAGAACTTCATCGGTCTCATGTAACAACGTTGATAAAACTTTGAAAAATAGACTTTTTATAAAGGTAAATATCTCACATCATAAAAAAAATGCTATATTCATTTGAATTAAATATTTATTAAGTAAATAAAAAAAGATTAAACGCGAAGTGAGGAGGAATCTACATGAATCAGACCCATTTAGTTATAGAATTAAACAAAATAAAACATTATATACACGACAAAAAATATATGTGTAGAAAAAAACATAAATCGTAAACTAGTAAATATAATCTGACAAAATATTTATCATCAATTCATATGAATAAAAGATGTTTATATCTGATATAAGCATAACATGATGAACGAATATAATACTGAACAATACATATTAATATAAATAAGAAACACTAATTTTAATCCATATATAGTTATTTATTAGAGTTATAATTCAACTAAACCAGAATATTAAAAGTTATAATTAGCACCGCTTACTATAGGAAGAATTTCGAAAGATAAAATAAAAGTTCGATTTGATCGATCATGATATGTTCTTTGTACTTTTATTTGTTATCAAGGATCAACAGATTAATTTGGTTTAACTATATATTATTCTCTAAGAGTGGGTGTGGGTGGGTATTAGTATATCAATTTTCTCTTACCCATACCTACACTCACACCACCCTCAATATTTTACTTGGCAGTGTATGAATAATCTGTCATCTGATCAATACAAGGCTTGTATGTGCGATAAGACAGCCGCACAATGTTTTGCTCGTAATACATACAATCCAAAAATGAAAGGAAATTGCAAATAAACAATAATTCATTCCGAACTCTGCACTTCATTTTCGTTTTGTTTCAGTATCTAATCATGAATTGAAAATAAAAGTTCACTAATTTGTGCGTCAAGATTGATATCGATAAACTCTCAAGCATAATATATCATTGTTCTAAATTTCAGCGCAGCTATTCCTTAAAATTCTCTGGAAACTTTTTACTTTTTTCCTATTCCGTCTATCTCTAGAATAGTATATTAATAAATATTTTAATTTTCCGTAGTTAAAGAGATTAATCATGAGAAATAACATCAAATACAGATTAGCGCTTTTGATATGTAACAAGTTTCATGACAAAAATCTGATGTTCTATCACGTTCACTCAAAAATTACGCAGACTTTATCAACAACTAAAGATTCAAATAATTTCTCTGTCAACGCGCTTGGTTATTTCCATATCTAGGACGTTGTTCAGAACCTATATATAGTTGCTTTGATTTTCATAATAAATCGGAGATTTGTACCAACAGGAATATCTTTGACTAGCACGCAGTAATATCAGAGCTGGTACCTCTTCTGCTTTTAACAGAAAATTTCTGCTTTTTTAATATCGTGTTTTTTATACTTTTAACCTACATTTTTCATCTCAAAGATCTTTTTCTCATAATTATAAAAACAGTCTTTATCATTAGTGAATCAGAGAAGCGTAAGCTGTCACTTTAATAGGTAGTGGCAACTGAAAAGTTTTAATTTCTCTTGCAGCTTCGGCGGCAGCTGATATTTTTTTCCTTTTTTTTCAAAATTTTTTATGCTCGACAAGTTTTGAAGCAGAAAAGAGAAACGGTATTGCAAAGCGTTGTATTAAAAAAATAGGTAAGAAGAATTTTATAAACTTATTTTGTATCGCTGGTTTCTCACTTATTCTTTTTTTTGCCCTTTTTTCAGAAATCTGAATATCATTAAACAGAACTTTTTAATATATGCGAAGAAACGGCATCGAGAAGAAAATTTAGGAGAAAACTGAAAACAAAAAAAAAGAGGCGAAGTAGAATGACACTCGTATTGCAGTAGTGATAGCGGTATACCACTCGATTTACACCTCTATTTAGATTACACACATGTTCTCTGCTTTTTTCCTGCTTTTTATACTTTTCGGACTTCAAAAGATGTGCAGCACTGATTACGACCATCTTAAATAATACCTGTAAGTAATCACCTTTACTATTCCCATAATACAATTACTATAAAAGGCGCTTCGATAACATAGTAGGTCACTGAATACGTCCGCCACAAACAGTCCACCCACACCCTCAAGAATTTTAGAACTTTTCTGGAAGAAATAGGCTAATTTTGCAGTTTTCAATAAGTTTTCGAAATTATTCTAGAAATATTCCGGTTTTGTTCTGCAAAAGATAGACAGAAAGACAAACAGTGTTGTAATATGAAGGTATGAATTAAAAAAAACCACAAAATATCGAACTTTAATAGGCGAAAACAAACTTTTACTTAGTAATCTGCCCGAGTAATGAAATAGATCATAGATTCATGTAGAAAAATTAACCCCTAATTACAGATTATCTTTTTTTTCTTAAGACTGTCTGTGTCAAAAAGAAAAGACTTTAAAATATGTCTAATCTAACACATACGTCAACGTTACCATCAATGTTAAACAATATACAGAATCAGATGACTTTGATCGGAATGCCACTAATATTATTTTTTGGAGTTGGTGGCAATCTAATCAATTGTGCTGTTTTTCTCCAAAAAACATTACGTTCAAGTAGTTATAGTGTGTATTTGATTGCATCAACAGTTACTCACACGATATTATTAATATTGGCCATGTCTACGAATTTATATTCTTTTGGTCATACAAATCCAAATACATATTCAATTGCCTATTGCAAACTACGTAATTATTTCATCAGTTCTCTTTTCAATATGTCTCGAACATATATTGTTTTGGCATCCGTTGATCGTTATGCTATCTGTTCACCTTATGCTAACATACGAGCATTTAGTCGTCGTCAAATAGCATTGAAACTCATTCCAATAGTTATTGGCATGTGGATTTTCATACCGAGTCATAATGTTATTCTCTCTACGATTCAAAATAATCAATGTATCATGCCTGGTTTGTATAAAGTTCTCTATGCTGGATATGCTGTGATTTGTGCTGCTATTTTTCTACCATCATTTACGATTACTTTTGGTCTATTAGCTCGTCGTAATCTGCGACTCATGCGAAGACGGATTGTACCCGCTGGTACTATTGAAGGATCACGTACGTTTATCAATAAGGTTGATTACCAAATCATGAAGGTAAGTCTCTTTTTCTTTCACAAAGTTTTCATATTTGAATTGTATGAAATAGATGTTATTCGTGGATGTGACTATCTATTGCATTACAATATTTCCATTTCCGATCACGACTGTTTACGGAGTTATTACAATGAATACAATCAAGAGTACAGATCGTGCAGCCATTGATAATTTTTTGTCACTTCTCGCTGGTTCAATTTTACAATATTTGAATGTTTCATCAGCAATGTATTCAAATTTCATCACTTCTGTAGCTTTTCGAGAAGAATTAAAGAAGCTGACCATGCATTGCATTAGAGTTGGAAATCGATAGACGACGAGTACCAATAATCTGAACGCATATGAAATTGAAGCTTCAGTTTTTAGAGATCTAATTAGTTTCATCAATGTACACTAGTTATTCAATGTCGTGTCGTGTGTAAAAAGTTAAGATTTTTGGATTATTTTTGTATAAAGAAAGTATTCCAAGGAAGAAATAACGAACGTTGATCTATGAAAAATCAGCTTCATAGTTCAGATTTCTCTAATTTATAAAAGTAGATTAAAACACACTATTTGATTCTTTAAGCAATACAAGCAGAGAATTCATTTTAAGATAAAAAACAAATAAACTATAAATAGTTTTGAAATACACACGCTCAGGAAATTGAGAGCAGAATGTAAAAGTGCATTTTAGGCTTTCCTTAATCTGGAATGTTTTACAGTACTTCTATATTCTTTACAAATTAAAATCCTTTGAAGACAGTTAGATATCTTGAGGGTGTGGGTGTTGGAGTAGCTGGGTACTAGTGAGACTCTGATAAATATTCAGACCAACACCCACACCCACCCACATCCATACCCATACCCTCACCCACACCCACCCACACCTACACCCACACCTACACCCACACCCACACCCACACCCACACCCACACCCACACCCACACCCACACCCACACCCACACCCACACCCACACCCACCCACACCCACACCCACACCCACACCCACACCCTCAACTAGTGGAACACATAACTTGCTGTTGATACCCGGCGCAGTTTTTTTTGACACACATTCCTTCAAGGCACATCCCGGGTTCCATCCGACACCATTGGTTGATTACAGGAAGTGGAAATAAGTCATGAGGTGGTTTCTTTTCTGCAAGTTGGATGATGACAAATCCATCAGAAGATGGGAGTTGGCCAATTACTTGAAAATAGCTACCTGGTAATAATATAATTTCATTTTCTGTAGCATAATAAGAATGGTTTTTGATAGATCGAGCATTACGACATTTAATCATGAAAAGTGTTCGTGGACCTGTCTTACCACAGAATTGTTCTGATTGAAGAACATCAATATTACTTGTACATGAACTAACACCCCACCAAATTGAATTACTATTCGGTGTATATCGATCTATTAAATTAGCTTTGACACCTCGACAAAATGTATCATTTATAGAAGGAAGTCGACATAATGCAGTAATAAATAATTTTAAGTATAAAAACCATGGCCTGAGTTTTTGTCGATCTTCCATTCGTAAAGTTTGATTAAGAATGAAATAAAGACTATGTTCAGCGTTATTCCATTCAAATGTATACATCATAATTGAGGCTGACTCGTCTTGTGTTAAACCATCAGCAGGACTTTCACAACGGTTTTTCGCAATCCATACATTCTTCTCAAGAATTTTTTTATCGAAAATTGTAAAAAGAGGCACAACCGCTTCTTCTAACGATACTAAAGGTTCATTTTGATAACCTTCAATTGGTAATAAAATACAATTGGTTTCATATAAAACATCTTCAATTCTTTGTTTTAACATGATGTGATAATTGTGACTTTCAATACTTGCTCATGAATGTTTTATTAGATTTTTCGATATTTATAATTCTAACGACATTACGAAAATGTTATGAAATTACGTGTATATTTGTCTTCTTCTATTGGACTTTTATACTTTTACTAAGAGTCGAAAAACAACGAAAAAGGAAAAAAAGAATGACAGAGCGATAAGAATTATACAATGAGACATAATTTCCAAGATACACAAATATATATTGTGTGGCAGAAAAGAGAATCGTGTTAAAAAAAAACATTCGAAGAATTAATTGCATAGTGTATAGGAATTTGAAGTTTCTGATTAGAATGGCATCAATATCAATTCAGTTTCAATTGGATGATGAGCAACCCATAGAAAAGAACTTATCGAATCAATTTACTCTAGACGAATTTAAGGAAAAGGTTGCCAGTATTTATGAAGATTATACACCGTATCGATATTCTTTTATATGCTGTGGAAAAGAACTTGATTTGACTAATGAAGATGAATTCAATAAGTACAAAACATTGATTATTAATGGGATAACAATTTTTACGATTAAGCATTCGAGAGCATGTTTTTTGCCAGATACACACATTCAACGTGCTGATCAAAGTGAAATATCCATTAAGGATGTTCAATTAGGTGATACTTTATTAGCATTTACTTCTTTTGGTGAGATCGTCACTACAGTTGTTGAAGATATATTTAAACATAAAGTCGATGAATATTTGGAAGTACAATTAGGACAAAATCAAGTACATGTAACACGTGAACATCCATTTTTTATTGGAAATGGCAAGTTTTGTTCAGTTGACAAACTACGTATTTCTGACTGTGGTTATAGTTTGATTAATGGTAATCTTCAATCAATATCAATTACAAATATTAAGACTATCACTGCACCAGACACATACGTCTATAATTTACGTACTGCACAGCCAAATACCTACTTTGCTAATAAAGTTGCTGTTCACAATAAACTTGGCAAATTATTTATAGACCTCTGCAATAGCATCGGCCTTAAGCGAATCGAATGGAGTAAAACTGGACCTACTTGGCGTATTGCACGACCTGGCATTTGTATTGAAGGAATATGTTCTAACGTATCTTGCAAAGCGAAAAATCAACTAGTGGTTATGAATATTGGACTTCGAAAATTTGATTTTCTCGGAGAATTTTCTAGAATGTCGAGATGTCCGGAATGTACTCAGTTCGTTAACCCCGTAACATGTGCTTTTAACAACTGTGAATGGCGATGGGAAGGTAATATGCAGAAATCAGATGATACAGAACCCGAGGATGTTTCAGGAGATTGGCAACTTGCTGATAATGCTTACCATCGTTTTGATGAAAATGTTAGTGGAACAGTAGGGTGGCTAGTATTGATCATTGAAGCAAAAGCAACGGGAAGATAACTTATTTAAATCAATCAAGTATTTTATTTGAATCACATAAATCACTTTAACTCATCTAAGTATCTTGAATTAATTGAGAATGATTTTTCATATTTTTTAAAATAAAATTAAAATTAATATTTTAGAACTTTTAAGATAATTTGTTTGTCAATAAGAGCTAAATACAGTAGATAATGGAATAAATGATTCATTTTCGAATAGTAAATAATAGAATTTTGGACAATGTTCAGTTCAAATCATTTATTATATATCGTTTATTCACTATTGATGTATTTCATTCTGTTTACAAATAAATTCTGTTTCTTTAGATTACTTGAGAGTATGGGGTGTGGGTATGGGTATGAGTGTCGGTTGATAAGAAGAATATTCATATACCCACACCCACACCCTCAAGATGCTCATATTTATTTCAATAAACAAAAGTATATTAAAGATATATATTGATATAATTTATGTACTCTTGTTCGATGATTTTGAACTACTATCAATAGAAATATTGACAATATTTGGAGTAAAATTAATATTTGATGATGATGATGATGAAGATTTATTTTCGAATTTTAACTGAGATGATAATGGCTTTACTATGATTTTGAAACCTTGATCTGCTGTTAGTTGTTCAAATGTATTGATAAGATTATTATCACCTATAGTTAAACACAGAGACACCAGTTGTTGTTCAATCTTTTTATTAGTTTCACGTTGTAGACGAATATCAATATCAAAAATATCTTGTTGAATATTTTCAAAATTTTGTTGATAACGTTTAATCTAATAAGTAAATTTAAAAAATAAAAATTTCAAATGATTTTTCTACAAACAAGTTGATCAGCACGAACAATCTTAGTATGATATTGTTCAATTTCTTTTTCAAGTTTATTTTGAATATGACATTTATTGGTATTAGTTAGATTTATTTGTTCTACTTCATATGTTAAGTCAGATTGAGATGTCTAGTTAATATCAAAAAAAAACTCTTCTTAAACAATCTATTTTAATTATCTTCTTACTAAATTGTTTTTTTCAGTAAAATCTTTTAATATTTTTCGACGAATTTTAACTTGTTCTGTAATAGATCGTAAATGTTCTTCAAGTTTTTCCATATCACAAATTTCTGAGCCTAATAAAATTCTCAATAAATTTTGAAAAGAAAAATTCAGTTTTATTATATTTACTTGATTTGTTTAATTTATCAAAAGCTCTTTTAACATCCATATTATTCCATTTCAAAATCTGTACTGTATTTTCGAGTGCTCGTAATTCATTCTCAGCTTTAATAACAAGTGCTTGTAATTGATCACCTTGTTTTAATAAATCTTCTTTCATTTGAGCAGACTATACTAAATAACAAGATGTGATATATCAATGGTTATTGTTAGAAAAAAAATGAATAAATTGTATACTTTAATCACATATTGTGCTTGTTCTAAAATATTATCTTCATCTGATTTATCTGTATTTAATGTTATAGCAAAACTTTCATATCGATATTTCAATTTAGTTATTTTCGTAATACGCATAGCAAGTTCAGTTGAAATAGTAGCTTTTTTAGTTCGTTCATCATTCAATCGTAAACGAAATAATTGACTATTTGCTTGTACTTCCATACGACGTTCTTTAATTGCCTAAAATGATAGTTAGTTTTCCCGAGATTAGATATGACTTACGGGAACGTGTTCTCTGGTAACTCGAAAAAACTCTCAAAGGTAAAACTTTTTAGAAAATTACTTTTTGTATTTCAATTTTGTGCTGTTTTAAATTAAAATTGATTTCACTTGAATTATGTAAAAGATTTTTTAATCGTTTTAGTTCGACATTGAGAACATTTGTTTCAACAAGATAATCCTATAAGAATAAAATCATAAATTTCTATCCGTAGATAAAAAAAAGCATCGTTTACTTCTTTTTCATCATTTAATTTTGTTATCATTTTATCACTTAAATTTGTATAAAGATCAAATTGAAGAAATTTTTCATTTAATTCATTTTTTTCTTCAATTAATTGATCGAAATCACGTTTGATCAATCTTATTTCTTCATGTAAAAGTTTTATTTGAGATTGTAATTGATCATATTGAGATTTTTTCTTCTTATATTCATTTTGTAATTCATTTATTTTTAAATCCGATTCAGAAGATTTTTCATTCATTTTTTCATTTAATATTCGGTTAAGACGATGATCAATTGTTTGTTTTAAAAAATCTTGATGATATATTAATTCTTGTTGTTTTAATAATTGTTGATCGAATTTATTGATTTGATATTTTATACTATGAATTTGATTTCGATATGTTTGGTTATCTAAATCATATTGTTTTTCACGTTTTTTTAATGATAATAATTCATTATTTAATAGAAAAAAAACTTCCGAATATTTTTTATATTGGCCATTTAATTTCTTTTGATATTTTTCTTCATTCTCCATTAATTTATCGAATTTCGATAATTTTTCATTTATTGTAAACTTTTCATTAAGTATAAAACTTTTACGATTAATTATATCCTTATGTTGTTGTTTAAGTTTTGTAAATCTATATAAACCGAAAAATAAGCATTGAATTGTTTTCAATGATTAAATTACTGGCGTTCTTTCGAATGAATATTCGTTTTCAGTTCACCAAGTGAAGCACGTTCATTTTGTAATTGATTTTGTGTATTGAACAGAACCGTTTTCAATGACAGAACCTAATAAAAGAATTCAAGTTTTCTTATAGGAATCAGTCGATATGTATTAGATCTTTGTAAATTTGATATTCCTGTGATAAAAGTGTTGTTTTGGTCAAATTCGACGCTGAGTACAGTGAAACCTCTCTATAGTGGACACCATCAGAACTTTTCAAAAGTGTCCACTGTAGAGAGGTGAGGTCACTTCTAAAGGGATGATTTATTAAACGAAGTAAATGTGTTTTCTGGACATCTGAAGATTAATGAATAGGACAGAACACAACTATTTAGCTTTACTTTCACCCTCGAAAAACATACAGTTTGCTAAAAAAAATAGTCAAATGTTTTGTAGACGCTATTAAACTTGTCAGCAATCCTCATCGTATAGAATTATATAACAATATCCACCATCGGCAGATTCTTCTTCAGCAAAAAATATAATTTTGAATTTTCAAAACTGTCCACTATGAGAGGTTTTACTGTAGTTACAATTTTTTAGGCATCTTAATCCGGAATTTAAAATATATTGTTAGAAGAAAAATAGTTAAACATTATTTTTGTTTCTATTATATGAAGAAATTAATTTGATCATTATTAAATAATAGATTGTTTTGAAATTGAATATGACATTTTTGTCTTACAGTATGAAATCTGAAATTTCTGATATATAGAATTACTACAATGAACTACTTAACAATCTTTTTACGTTTAGGTTAACTCAGTTCTAGACAAAAAAAAACAAAGGATTTTCCTATATAAGGTCTATTTCTGAACTTATTATAATACACTTAAAGTTCTTTTTACTATTTTTAATAAATTGTCGAAAATAAGGTAATGTTCTTTTGCCGTGAATCATTCATAAGTCTCCTACAATCTCGAATATCTTAAACATTTATCATATTTCATCTTCTCATTATCATAGTTTTAATTTAATGTTTACAAACCATAATGTCAGGTACTATTTTTTTTACATATAATTAGTTTAGTACGTAAAATAAATCGTTTTTCACTATCCCAGGTCGAACAATCAGATAGGGATCGTACAAAAAATCATGGTCCCTGATTTCTTGCACTAAATCGTACTAAAAAATTCTTGTAAGATTCTGTTACGCGGTAGAATGTGACCAAAATATTCCATTAAACCTAATTTCTGCTGAAAAAATACAGTGCGCATCAAATCCTTCAAGAAAAATGTGGTACGAATTGGTACAAGATCTTGTAAGACATTGCAAGATCTGACATCAGATTTTTTGACCTGGGATGTTGTCTATCACTGGATACGTATAGAATTTATGATTGTGAATTCATTAAATATGTGTACAGTGACATCATAATTTGTCTCTACATCATAAATAAATCTATAAGAAGTTAAAATTATCTTCGTCTAATCAAATATTAATCTATTACTATCCTTCAATACTTCCGATTCCTTTTCTCCATCTAATAATAAGACTAAATCATTTCCCTACGAATGGTTTACCTCCGCTTAAAAACTACCCCAGCCCACGCCCCTCCTACAACGTATCAGGTAAATATGAATCATACATCTGTTTCCAAATATTCTTGTTTTTCAATAGTTGTCTTTTGTTTTGTTTTTAATATTTGAACTTTTTGTTTGGCTGAATGAATAATTTTTTCCATAATTATATTATTTTTTTGTTCACGTTCATAGAATATTTTTTGTTCATTTAATTCTTGTTCTTTTGTACGAGATATAATTTTAATTTGTAAAAGTTCCTAAATAAAAATTTTAAAATCATTCATTTGATTTAATTAATTTACCATAGAAAATTTATCAATATCATAATCTTTTCGTTGCATTTGTATAAGAATTGTTTCCCATTGTTGAATAAGTTGTTGACGTTGTTTATGAGAACGACGAAATGTATTCGCGATTTTATCTAATTCAATTTCATGACCAACATATTCAATTCTTTCTTCCTCTAATACTCGTTTTAAACTATTTGATTTTTCTGAAAGACGTTCCATTTGAATTGTTAATTCCTTAATATATGTATACGTATGTAAAGAAAATCCGTTCTGTTTGAATATTAATTTTTTACTTTTATGCGACTATTATCTTCTTGTGTATATTTTATAAAACAAAATGTTTCATCATCATGTTTCTTTATCGATTCAATTAATTTTTCTAATGCATCTTTTTCCATTAATGTTTCATTACTAATTGTTGATATTTCTTTATTTAATTCTTGTATTTCCATCTAATAAAAATTTTTCTCAATTGAAAACTGATTATTAGTAAAACTAAAGAATACAATTTACTTCGAAATTAATTTTTCGTTTAGTAAATCGAATCAATTCAGTATCTAAACTCA